GAATGGAAAATTCCTAGGTTGCCAATGATCCCCTTAGGTTTATTTAAGTCACCACTGTTGTCGTTGGTTTTATCAACTAACTTTTTATATGGTATGACATACTATTCATTCATGTATTATGTACCTTACTATTTTCAAATTGTTAGAGGATATGACCCAATAATGGCTTCGGTATTGTTAATTCCTTTAGTATTAACGCAGGCCATCACCTCGATTATCAGTGGTCAAATAATTTCATACACTGGCCATTACAAGTATGTGATTTTATTCGGTTATGGAAGCTGGGTTTTGGGTTGTGGCTTAGTATTACTATGGAATGCAACCATAAGCATAGGGGTTGTCATTGTAGTTTTAATTATTATGGGAGTAGGGCTCGGGTTCACCTTTCAACCTTGCATGGTGGCTGCTCAAGCTCAAGCAAGGAAGTCAGAAAGAGCAGTCGTTATAGGCACCAGAAATGTTATTAGATCATTTGGGGGCGCTATTGGAATTGCAATGGGATCTTTGATCGTAAGCAATACTTTATTGAAAGAAGTTAATCAAGCATTGGTACATAGAGAAAAATATGCAAATATTCCCAGTGACTATTTGAAGTATTTGAAGCTGCATATTTATACCAGGATTGAGGTTACAGGTTTAAATGAAAAACAAGTCAAGGTTATTGAATCTATGTATATGAAATCACTCATGAATTACTTCTACTTAGGTATTCCTTTAATTGGAATTTGTTTTATCAGTTCATTCTTCTTGAAAGATAGGGGTGTTCAATGTATTGACGAGCAACCAGAACCAAAGGATAAAGAAAAGAACATAGAAAGTAAATAATCGTTAATAGAAATACAACTTAATATGCATAAAGTAATCGTTAGATATTGTACTCATGTTATCCACGCATCATATAGTCGAATTAATGTTTCGTTTGATGCATATAGGTAAATTGTCTTTAGTTCCTATTCATGAAGCTGCCTAAGATATTATTGCTCATTTCTTGCATGTCAACACCTTCAAGTAAGTCGCCGAGATTATCACTGACGAATTGACCGATTTTTTCAAAATCAAAGTCGTCTCCTTTGTGGAAATGATCTTCTACATAATCAAAGTATGATTTGTCAATCTCAATGCCGTAATCCTCAAGCACGTTAGACAGACCAAAATTTCCTTTTTTTTCACTTCCCCCATTAATCATCCCAAGTAAGCCATTTATCATAGTGAATCCGTTCTTATATTGTTCCCGTGATCCATGGTGATTGTGGTGCAAATCTATGACTGCCTGTTTGATAAAATGCACGTCTTGAGTGAAAAATCTCCATCCTCTGAAATATACTGCTCCACACACACAAATAAATACTAGCATCAACAATGCCTTGATTATTCCCACTAAAAATCCTATCCACATTCGAATCATCCTCATTAATAACCTGTATACCAAATAAGCTCCCACGGTTATCATTACCATTAATGTAAATTGTGGATATGCACGGTACGAATAGTTGAAAAGTACTATAGAATTTCGGCAAACCATCACCAATACAGTCATGGATATGGATGCCACCTGTGCAATATAGTCTTTTAGCTCGCTCATACCAGTATGGAGTCCTTAGTTCGTAATAATGCGCCCTATACCCGTATTTGGCACTATATGATCGTTCTTTACTCCAGAGTCTATTTGCCATAATACTGTCTAATAGCCCTGCAAGCCGTACCGAAAAGTCACCGGGGTTACCCGCTCAAGACTCATCGATTATAAAAGGAACCAAAGTCCACCAGAAAACTTCGTTTTCATCTTTTTCCTTTGCTCTTTGAAAGTTGCCTCCGAGTTGAAATTTGGCAGTTAACCAGTCTTTATATATGTTTGAACGGCTGCAATTTGTTTGTTCAATTAAGTTTGAAAGCTTTATTATCTGTGCTTTGCCCATTAAGTTGGGAAGGTACACTATGGGTGGTATTGTTAGAGCAAATTGCTGTTGCCAAATATGTTGTTAGTTAATTGTTGACAAACGCTCGGACAGATCGAATGTGATTATATAGAATATGCTTGAGGTTAGAAACTCGAGGGTGTCCCGTTATGTCACGATATGTTTTTGATGTAGGTGAGATTTGGAAAAAAGACTATCGCAAATCATGTAGAATGTAGAGAAAGCTCTAGGACAACCGCAAGAAATTAGTTCGGGGTATCGTAAAGTCAAAGGTTTCTTCATGAAGTGTCTGATGATCGTGTGACCCCTAGTGTCCTTCGTTGGACACCAAGATCTAAAAAATTCGAAAAATGTTGATGGTTCCAAGGACCAAACACAAAACGAAGTGCGCCGCCAGCCAGCAAGTGATTAAATCATTTACGTATATATTTAATCATTCTTTTCAGACAAGATAACAACGTACCATATTATAATATATTAAGATGTTTCTGAGACGGAAGCCACCTCAATTGCCGTTAGTGGAGGAGCTTCAACTGACGTACAATGATTGTTGTAATTTAACTATTAGAAACTTAACGTTGGAAGAGCATAATAAGGTTGAGGATGCATTAAAAGGATGGAAGTCATTACATACGTCTTTATTATTTAAAATAGAAGCATTTGATAAACAAGTGACCAGACCCGACAGTGAAGAGAGCACACTCTTGGAAGAGTTGAAACGAATTAGGGACGAGAATGTTAAGCATCTCATAAGGTCGCAATTAAGAATGGACGAAATCACAAGGAAACAGAATACCAGTAGTAGTAGTAAGCCTGCAATAAAGGTGACACAGAGCTCGCAAGGGTCATCGATGACCGTGCCATCTTTAAGGGGTGGTCTGGCATCACGATCGTTGACCAATACGAATGCATCTAACCAGCGAAGAATGTTGAAGTCTTTGAGACCAGGTGTCCCCCAACAAAAGTCGTTGAATAGTAAGGGAGCGACGCAGGCGTCAAAAGCAGCAACTGTTTCATGGCAAAAGCCCTCGAATACTAAAGTTCCCACCATAAAGCCTGTCAAGGATGATATGTTTGAGGATTTTGATCAGGACTCGTTTGAATTTTTTGATTCCAACTGGGAGAGAATCGACTCTCCTCCAAACTTGATAGATTTAGATGCCCCATTAAACAATGATAATAGCGACTCTAATGACTACTTTGGTCAGGGTTTGTCTAGTAATGGAAAAAAGACAAATGGCGTGCATGATGCCAGTTCCTCTATGGAAAACTTAACGATTAATAACGATTTTCCTAAGCCCAGAATAAGTAAACCATCTGGAGGACAAAATTTAAAACTACAACCAAAATTGTCGGACTATGCGTCAAAAAGCACTTCTGATATTGGTGCGGTACAAAATGATGGAGAGAATAAAGGTGTATACGTGTACAACAAGCCAAAGCCATTGAACATTAATAGATTAATGAAAGGTCAACAACTGAAATCACAAGCTTCGAGAAGTCCTGTTAGACAGGCTCCCGCACCAAAACCAAAACCAAAACCACAACCACAACCACAGGCAAAACAACAACCAGTTTATAAAGCCAAACCAGTTGCGAAAGCCCCACAATCCCTGATGCAACCCCCAAAAAAGTCAAATATTTCTTACAACTATATACCCGGAAATCAGTCTACGAACAAACCCAGACAAAACCCAAAAAAGACGATTGCAACCACAGCAGCCTCTGCTTCACAAGCAAAGACAAGAACAGCCGAACCCAAAAAGATTGGGAAAGATGATGAAGTACCGATGTCCCCAACAATGGATGACATTCTAGGAGGATACGATGATAACAAACCATTAGATGAAGAGATGGAAAAAGCCTTGAAAGATTCTTTGGACGAAACCGATGACCCTAATAGGCCTTTGAACGAGGATGAACAGGCGGCTCTTATTGCATCTATCAGAGGTATAGATCCATTAGCAGCAACGCAAATCTTGAACGATATAGTTGTACATGGTGACGAGGTTTATTGGGACGATATCGTTGGTTTGGAAAGTGCTAAGAACTCGTTGAAGGAAGCAGTCGTTTATCCGTTTTTAAGACCCGATCTTTTCAAGGGATTGAGAGAACCAACAAGGGGTATGCTTTTATTCGGCCCACCTGGTACTGGTAAGACTATGTTGGCTCGTGCTGTAGCAACAGAATCCAAATCGACGTTTTTCTCTATCAGTTCCTCTTCTCTTACTTCCAAGTACTTGGGAGAATCAGAAAAATTGGTCAAAGCATTGTTCTTGATCGCACGAAAGCTCGCTCCGTCTATTGTTTTCGTTGACGAAATAGACTCGCTTTTGAGTTCTAGGTCAGATGGAGACGCTGAGAGTTCTAGAAGAATTAAAAATGAGTTTTTAATTCAATGGTCTGAACTCAGTAGTGCCGCCGCAGGTAGAGATAAAGACGATGGAGACGATGTTTCCAGGGTATTGATCTTGGGTGCCACAAACTTGCCATGGTCCATCGATGAGGCTGCGCGTAGAAGATTTGTTAGAAGACAGTATATTCCTTTACCCGAAGATGAAACTCGTAAATCGCAGATCATCAAATTATTAGCCCACCAGAAGAATACACTTCTGGAAGACGACTACAATGAATTAATTGCATTGACTAAGGGCTTCAGTGGATCAGATATTACTGCATTGGCCAAGGACTCAGCAATGGGTCCATTGCGGTCGTTGGGAGACAAATTGCTCGATACTCCAACCGAGAATATCCGTCCCATCAATCTAGATGACTTCAAAAATAGTTTGAAGTATATCCGCCCAAGTGTTCTGAGTGAAGGTTTGGTTGAATACGAAAATTGGGCAATTAAATTTGGATCATCGGGTGTATAGGCTGATGCTCGCTTGCCATAACCAGCACAATAGTTTATTTTACATTCCTTATTATTACATGAAGAAGATTGCTCCCCTTACGTCGCATTGTTTTTTATTGTCCTTTTCAGGGGGAATTTGAAAAAGTTTTCCGCATAAGGTTAATTCTCGGCCACGACAGTAAACATCGACTCGAACCGAACTGGCTGTACAAATTGTCAACAATAAAAAGAAGCAATCAATGCTACATTTGGCTGTGGATAAGCAAGTGGGGCATAAGATGCATAACATAATATTGGACTAGAACTTTTTTTTACTTAGAAGATACGAATTTTGCTTATGGCAATGCATTTTGATGTGGCACATTAAATGTACCTGAATGTGAAAAAATTTCACATAACCGTATTTGAGTATTTTTCAGGTGTAACACTACGGCTTGTACAGTAAATTAAAAAATACAAACAGGCTTTATGCATTATTCATATATTTTTATCTCATGATAATGATCATTAAATGCAGAGGCGTATATTACGCCTGATAAAGTTGCTGAATACATACGAAAATAAAATAGTCATATATATATATAATATTTTTCCAGGCGATATAATAATATTGTATTAAGATTTCTGTCTACAGTATTTGAATACAACGGTTTCTCGATATATGTTAGGATAAGATGAGTGTTATTATGAGCTATAACAACCACCTGAATCAAAAATACCATCCTTATTCGTATCGGCCGGACCAAAATCGTCATGGATACTATCGCATAAATCAGGTTCCAATACTGCAACAACATCCTCCAACAGCTCAAACGACGATCCCACCACCAGCTATACCTGGTGTCCAAAGTTCAATACAAACCACGATACAACCCGCACAACCACTTCCACACTTGCAGCCCCCAATACAACAACCACAAGTTTACTATCAGCCATATCCTCCCCAACATTACTACACATACGTACAACCACAGGCAGAACATTCTTTACCCCCTGGCAAACGCAGGAAGACCAAACATTTCTCGACATGGACCCCTGCAGAGGATAAGCTTTTGCGAGAATTGAAGGAGGAACAAAAGATGGGCTGGAAACAAATTCTGACTTACTTGAACGACAGAACCCCCAATGCATGCCAGTTTCGCTGGAGAAGAGTTGTAGGCAGCATAAATGTATCAAACACCTCGGTTGCTACATTACCTCCTTCATCGCCAGCGGCCTCGTCATCCAGATCGAACTCAATAACAAGTTCTCCCATGACTTCGCCAAAACAACCCAACTCATCTAATGCCGAGTCAGCTGAGTCGACTGAGTTTAGAGAACATATGCACACTACAGATACTACATCCGATTTAAGCAATTCGTCTCCTACAACAGGAAGACGTAAATCATCGCATCATTCGATAAACTTTTTGTTAAATTAAAATATGTACATTATTCTCTTTCAATTCATTTATCATAATACAATAATTAATTTCGCTATGTGGTATTCTCCGCGTAAAGTGTTCACTGATTGTCAGTAAACCTCAAACTTCACACAAGCCATACTGCCTTGTAGCCAATCATAGAAGCATTGTATGAATGCAGACAAGATGATTTCTATTGTTCCTGAATATAAATCGGGTATCCTATGTCTAGTATTCTTCGCGATTAAGATCCTTGTGAGTGAATCTAAGCCAAATGCATTGCGGTTGTGTATATTCAGGCACATTGAGCATATGCTTAGCGGCAGAACCAGTAGGCAGACATACTGAAATATGGATTTGGCTATGTTTGGTAGTCAACCGGCCATTTTTTGAGCTTCTCGCTAACAGTTGTCGGTAAGCAGTAGATGGGGTCAATTTTGCAGAAGGGGAACTTTTTACTCTCAATTAAACTGAGACCGGTGATACCAAAGCAGGTATGAAATACATCAGTTTGATTGTCTTCTCTATCGCTTATGCCACCTTTATCAAGATCTTGACATGTTAAAATGTAGTGTTCTAGTTTGCCGGCATCAATCCAGTGCTTTTTACCGAGAATTGATAACGATGATAATACCCACCAACTATAACATACATCTGGCAATTTTTCTGGTCTTCCATTAAACCCTCCGCTTGGTAACACTTGTCTCTCGCTCAACCAATTGCCTAGTTTTACTTCATTGACCAAGTGTAGACTATTTGTTATTGCCAAAGTACCCAAACATGTGAATACTTGGGCAGCATGACTCTCTGCTCCCGGTAACATTCCGAATGCTCCGTCAAAGTTTTCACATTTCATTATAAACTCGACAGCAGGATCAATCACTTCTTGACTCAATTCTCCTAGAATGGCCAATGCTTGTATAGCAGTATACACGAAACGAGTATCTGTTTCCCCAAACAAATCTCCCTGAAAGCATCCATCGGGCAATTGTAATCCTCTTATAAACTTGACCAACTGTCCTCTTTGATGTGTATCTAAAACATCTAAGCTGTCGTAAATCGCTAAGATTTGGATTGCTGATAATGTTGACAAAATATGAGCATCATGTTTAGGGTATGCTCCAAATCCACCCACTTTGGCATCCCAACAGCTTAATACAAACTGGATGACTCCGTCTTTTGGCAATGCATCCAACAGATTCATTATACCTAACGCAGTAACACCCCAATAGAGCCCGTTCATTCTCAAATGTTCCAGTAACCAATATTCAAAAGTTTGTTTTGTTGATTCCGAATCTAAATCTTGTATATATTTGACATGCTTTTCCTGGACAAACTCCAATTCTTTAGTTTCTACACTTGACATACTGATCTTAGCTTGAGATGGTGATCTTGTCTTGAAATGGCGATTAGTAGTTATCTTTCACTGAATATGCCGATTTCTCATACAAAATTTAGATCAGACTGCAGACTGAGAGAATACACAATCTTGCAAAATTCTATGATTAAAATATATACACCTAAAAATATACTTCTTTGAACTCAAACCTCTTACCACTAGGGTAGTATTCAACAAAAGAGAGCTTTCTATTATTACCTACCAATTTACCCGTGTTAATAACCTTACAACCGTTATATGTGACCTCAAAAGTAGGGAAGGTTGCATCGTTTAGTATCATTACAGTAGGCAATGGCTCTATTCTCAAAGAATAATCGTAATTAGTATTAATAATACGAATATCTTTCAAGAATGGTTGCAAATTACCTTGATCTAATATAGTTTTTACCAATTTTCTTGCCTGTTTGATTTTTGGAGAAATGTGGGGCTCTTTGGTATTAATATCCGTTGCATGTATTAGACCATCGGCGTTTTTATCTTTTTGTAGCTTTTGTTGTTCCAATTCCAAGTCATTTGAGAAAATTATATCATTTCTTTTAAACTTGTTGATGATGTCATCTTTCATTAATACTATTTCCTGGGATAAATAGTTGATTCTAAGCGGGTTCCATCCAGCTATTAAGTTGCCCTTTGGTAGCAACCTTTCTAATCTATTTGTAAATATTTTGGGTATGGATCTTTGGGGAAACGCATTGAGGTTTGATCCTCCTAATGAATGGGATGATTGCCATGGATCATTAATACCTGGTATTAACGCAATCTTCACCTTCTGCACGATATTTGGGAAGTTTGACAAAATATTACTCAAGTTGTCAAAGTTACTTTTATAGTTTTCAGTGTTAGATACGTTTGCAACTGACGAATTAGTAGGCGTTAATGGATTTGATGTAAATGATCCGATAAGAACTATAACCAATGGTTGATTTGATTCGTCGTCTATTATGCCGCTCTCAATCTTACCGAAGAGCTTTTTCAATCCGTCCAAGATTTTATAGTCATCAAGAAAACAATCCGAACCCAATATGATTAACTTATGGTTGACTAAGGTCTTCTCTAAACTTATCAATTTTTTCTTAAGTGATTTATTAACTCTTAGTATATGATTATCGTTGTTACTGGTATCATTATCCCTGTTTATTCCCATAAAGTCTAGATTTCCATAATTTTCTAAGCTTAGTTCTCTTCTTTCCGCCGGTGGATGGCCAATGTTACTCACATGAAAGCATCCACCAATCACATTTGCATTGGTCATAGATCCTCCTGAGGCCGAATAAATACCCTCAGCAATAACAAACATACCTGGGCAATAGAATGATCCTTCAGTTTTATAGGCTTGGGTTAAGTTTAATTCGATATGATCCGTAGAATCCTCCAAGATAAAATCATCGTTAGCGTTTTTCGATAATAATCCAAACAAGATGAATTTTGATCCGTCTCTACCAAGAACGTTCTTAATCAAAGTGATTTCATTCGTTTTATTATTATGATTTAAGGATTTGCTTATGGATGAAATACTAGAAAATGTTGGTTTTTGAAAATTTTCATTTCTTGACAACCTATCAGATATAAGATGATATCTATTGTTGAAGTAATCGACATTTGAGTTGAGGTTATTTGCTAGCCTTCTAGCACTTGTACTAGGAATAAAACTAAGTTGTTTTCTATGCACATCATACTTATAATTGGGTTGTTCATCTGGATTCATTACTTTAAAATAGTCATTCCAATTCAACGTATTTTCTGCATCATATACGGCCTCATTCTCTATAACATTGTCAACCAAGGTGTCTGATCTCTCGGCTTTCTTTGCTAAGTTGTCAGCAGAGCTATTTGTTCTAGATACATGACTAATATTCCTGTCTGAAAGTTCTTTGATTACTTGCTTCAACCCTGGACCATCAATGAAGATACCTCTATCTTGGTTCTTCCATATTTTGGCTATTTCTTCTAAAAATTGTTGAGATTGTATGCCTTTCCAATCGAATCCAAACTTATAACTAACAGCCTCAGTTAGTAATTTCAATGCATCAGTTTGGATATTTAAACCGTGCTTTTTCGACAAGATCCTATAAGCTATAGGTCTTAAATTCGATGGCTGAAGCTTTATAGGCAAAGCACTAGGGTTTTCCATTGATAGGTATCTAATGGAGTTTATTTGACTATATATTTATCAGTATTAATTTTAACGCGTTATTAAAACGCGCACCAAAAGAATTTATATAGCAGATGTGTTTAATATATAATGCTTACTATATCTCCAGCTCATCGATCAGATCAATATCTAATAGTATGCTGTTCTGGGATAAATTAGGAGAATGCCCAATAATAATAATTATTTCTTCTAATTGTTTCAGTAGAATTGATAGACTTACTAACAATTCGTTAAGTACTTTCATTTCGTTTAATACTTTACTTCTCTTATCATAGGCTTTGGCAATATCTCTGCAACGTTGACTACTTGTAGAGGATGACATAAGGCTAATCTGAAAAGCGGAAATTTCCTGATTCATTTGGTATAGGCGTTTACGTTTCTTATAGATCGACTTACTGAAACTTTCTGTGAGTCGAGTGAATAGAGTTCTGATCTCTATAAGGTTATCAATACTGTATTCTTCGCCTATATCTTGGATTCCCAGTCGAGAAAATGCCAGTTGAAAGCGCTGGAACGCATCCAGATAGTCTGAAAATTTACGTTTAATGCTTTCAAATCGTATTAACAGTTTCTTTGGCATTTCTTTTGTATTTAGTGATTCCAACAAGGTTTCAAAATCATTTAGTATGTATTCTTTATGAGAGTCACCCCCTTTCAAAATAGACTGGGAAATATCGATTAGCTTCTCAAAGAAATGTACGTAATCCTTTTCGTTTTCTTCCAAGTCAGATCTTATAATTTGCTTTTCTTCGTTTAATAGCTTTCGCTCTTGTCTATATCTTTGCTGATTCAATTTGAGTCTAGTTACAACTACATCATTCGAGTCAAAGTCACGAGCTTTACGGCGTTTCAGTAAATTTCCTTCATTTAAATCATCTAATTTCTTGCTTTTCAAACCTATTTCAAGTCTCTGTTTCAAAATTATTTTTTGGTCTTCTTTCAATTTAGCCAAATCATTTTCAATTTCACTTCTCTTGGAGTTCAATTCGTACCTTAGGGTCTGTAACCGCTGCCTTTCTTTGGACAACTCTTGCTCTTGCTCTTTTTGCTTCACTAAAAACTTTTCATGTTCCCTGAATAATTCTCGTTCTAATTGGTCTAATTTTGTCTTCTCTAACTCGTCAACATGTAAACTAGCACGCCTCTGCAAAACGAGGATTTTCTCGTTTAATTCTTCTGTACGGTGGTCAAATTCTGACTTAAGTGACTTGATTTTATCATCATACTTAGCTTTAAGTCGTTCACTATTATCTCTTTCTTTCTGAATTATGTCTTGTAGATCATTAAACTCATGTCTTGTTTGTTCTGATTCGTAATGCTGTCGCCTCCGAATAGTGGCTTCATCAACAAGATCTTTTGGTTCATCGAAGGAAATATCACGTCTTTTTATCTCTTTTTGGTCATCTTTTTCAAACCATACTCTTTTGTTTCCCTTAACTTCAGGGCTTTCACGTACATTTAATACATTTTTGGCAGACTTTCGAAGCAAATTTAAATCAGTCTGGTCATGTTCATGGCTAGACAAACTAAATTTAACTAGAAAAGACCTTAGTCTGCTGAATATTCCTTTTTTATCTTCCAAGGTGGATGCTTTTCTATTCTTTCCATCATATCTTCTATTTCTGTTCGTTATCAATATTCCTTTATTTACTGGTGTACTCTCGTTGAATAATTTATATAGCCTTGTTGGCTGCAACTTGGAAGGTGTATATGGTAACAGAGATAGCGACCTTATCGGCGAATCAACAATTTTATTCTCAGTATATCTAATGCCCTCATATCTAGGCTCGTCAGGTGTATATTTTGCAAGATTGTATTTTGGAGTATAGGTTGATCTGTTTCTAGCAATTGTCTCAAATTTCAGAGGTGACCTGTGAATTGTCTTTCTGGGTATATAACCTAATTCTCTAGACCTCTGATACTTTCGATCTAATGTCGACTTACTATCCATGCCCTTTATTGAGCTGCTATTGAAACTCTTATATTTTAGTTTGTTGATAATTCTAAACCGGTTTTGTGCACGCGTAGTCTTTGGACTCAACTATACTCCGTGCAATTTAGATGGAGCTTCCTTAACTCTTTTATATATATTTTCAGTCACTTATAATACTACAAGCGGCTTGAGTCTTTTGAATGGATAAATAAAATATATTGAAATGTATCTATAAAAAGCCATATGACTCAATTTACCAGAAAGATTAAAAAATAGGAAGCATATAGAAGAAGTATTGATGGAAGGAATTGCGGAACCAAATGAAGAATTGAACTTGAACGAAGAAACTAAGGCCTATTGCTTGATACATATGATTCTGTATCTGAATTCTTTCTAAGAGGCTCAATTTCATCAATACATTGCAAGCCTTTGTCCTTGATTAAGAAAGAAGTGATTAAGCAAATAGCAATAAAGGGGATTAATAAATAGAAATAATTTTTCAATGCACTAACATACATCAGTTTGACGACACTAGTTTGGCTTGAGGTGAGACTGGATGTGTCGAAGCGACTATAGATGTTGGTTTCTAAGTATCTAAGATAACTGGATGGGATTTTGGTGGAGTTATCTTTTTCAAGCTGCTTAATACTAGACAAAAATGAGTTGCTTACAGTAGTAGAACCGACTGCAATACCAACTGCACCTCCAAATGACCTAATGACGTTTCTTGTGGAGATAACGACAGCCCTGTCGGCCTTTTTGGCTTGTGCCTGTACTGCTACCATGGATGGCTGAAATGTAAACCCCACACCGCAGCCAATAATTAGAAGACTAACGATGTTTACCCCATCATTTACGTTCTCATTCCAGAGAAGTAATAAACAATTTCCTAGCAACCAAAGAGAGTAGCCGGTGATAATCACATATATATAATGACCGGTGTGCGTGATTATTTGCCCAGATACAACAGACATGACTGCTTGACATAAAACAAAAGGCAAAACAAACAAGGAAGTATGAACAATGCTTTTATTCTTCACAATTTCAAAATAATAGGGTTGATAATAAAGGAAACTGAAATATGTCATACCGAAGAAAAAGGTTGATAAAAATATCAAGGATACCATAGGTAATTTAAAAATTCTTAAGGGAATCATTGGTAGTTTTGCAAACTTCCACTCAACGAGTAAAAATACAAAGAAGAGTGAACCACCGATGATAAACATTGCAATAATTATTGAAGAATTCCATGGATAAGTTGATCCACCTCCACTTATTGGAACAAGTAATAAAGTCAAACAAGCTGTAGCAAAAAATATCCCAAGGTAATCGATTTTCATGAATTTTTCCTTTCTTGTCAATATGTTTTCCACTTTTTTGACTGGATCTTTAATGAAAATATATATTATTACAATTACGAGAACATTTAACGGACATAACAAATAGTAGAAATGTCTCCAGGTAGCACCGTGAATAAATCCGGCCATTAAAAAGGGACCTATTGAATTTCCTAACCCAACACTCATGCCTAGAATTCCTTGGTATTTTCCTCTGTCTCTGAGTGTGACAATATCAGATAGTATAATTTGAGGAAGGCTTGAAGAACATCCATTTCCGATTCCAGCTAAAGCACGACAAACATAAAATTGCACTCCAGTTTTACTAACACCACAGCCGATGTCAGCAATGGCTAAGATTAATAATCCAATCATCAATACGTTTTTTCTTCCAAAAATATCCGACAACCTACCAAATAACACCTGGCATATACAGTTGGCTAATAAGGAAGCAGTACCAGCCCAATTAATCGTTGTTTCAGAATCCAAATCTTTTCCAATTACAGATGTAGCCACTGTGACGCCTGTTTGGTCTATAAATGATACCATCAGGGCCATAGCTAATACTAGAAGACAGATAATTATTTTTTTAGTCGGGAGAATATTCATATGAGCATCGCCTAGCTTTTCTGATAAGTCCGAATTGATGCTATTTTGCATCACATTTACGTCAAATTCCTTTTCTGAAGAACAAATTTTATTTGGTTGTGACATGATATGCTTTACAAACTTATTGAATTAAATTAATATATTTAATAACTTCAAAAGCTTGGGAAATTAGTGGCCTTAAAAACCGGACAGTTTATGAACTTACTGATTTTTTTTTAGCGGGTGGCCCAGAATCATAAAACGTTCATTTCTTAACAAAGGAAGGAACATGTTTATAGTTTACTGTTGCTGTCGCTTAACTTTAATTAATGTGAATAACTTATCATAGCCGTTAAGCGCATTTGATGCTTAGTGCGGCTGTGGTTTCGTCTCTTAGTAGGCTACCTCAGCTATGTCGGAATTTTCAGGAACAGTATAGTACCATCAGGGTGTATTTCTTGCTATTATGAACAATATGAACTTGTATGGAAGATGTAACTTTGATGTATTCCTATGAAATTACTAAATTTAATCTCTTATTAGCGCATTTTTGCAACGTGAGAGACAATAGAAACTTTGCGATTTATTTGGTTGCGGATTAATAGCACGGATAATCTATATCATGGTTACAATTATTCAATACCCGAGATAGGCATTGGGCGAAAACGGATCAAGCTAATGATTGCGCCTGATAAACGATTAATAATGTAAAAGAACAATAAAACGCGCCTTACATACAAAAAAATCATTGGCGATTATCTAATAACTAGTATGGAATGAATACAACAATCCCTTATGATGGAAAGTTGAAAGCATCAGCGAATAGCTAAGAAATATTAATTATAAACTGAAGTACATAGATAAAACTAAGAAATTTGACTAAGAAATTTGATAATGGGATATTGATAAACATGTTGCTCAACAGCAATAGAATCATTGTAATATGCAACCATTAGTAACTTAAACAATCTAAAATTGCAATATCTTAACATCAATTAGCAACAAATCTGGATTAGGCCATACAACTTATTTTCTCTGCTTGTGGTTGAAATATATACCTTATAGGTGCCATTCTGAATAATCCACCCTTGTTGCATCACATCCCATACACTTAAATCACGCTGTAATATATTGAACTTCACTTGTGTTTCTTCGCCTGGATCGAGAAATACCTTATCAAAACCTCTAAGAACCTTTGTGGGTTGTGAAGAAGGGGTTTTCGGAAATTCAATGTACATCTGTACTGCAAAGCCGCCTCTGTAACGGCCTGCATTGGTGATAGATGCTTTTATTTCATACAATAAATTCCACAATGCAGGGTTCCCACCCGCGCCACCACCTGCTAAAGGTGGTCTTGGAACAGGATCTGGCTTATATCCTAGTGGATAATCAAAGCCTCCGTTATTATTGGGTGAAGACAAATTCCTATCATGAAGGTATGGATACACAAATCCAGGTACAGGATCTATAGTTCCAATGGGGAACAATGCAACCTTTGGGTCAAGAACATTATTTTCATCCAATTTTATAGCTGGTAAATATTTATTTGATTGCTCTAACTTTTTTAAAGGAGTCTTAATTTCTGTTATTCTTAAATCTGAAAATTGGAAATCAGTGTAAGATAAACCATATCCAAATTCGAATCGTGGTTCAATTTGATTTTTCTCAAAAAATCTATAATCTAAATGAATTCCACGTTCGAATGTGTCTTGCGGAGACCTACTACCATTAAGAGTATCTATCAACGGCACATAATGTTGATCATCTCTTGCAATAGTGAAAGGTAATTTACCTGATGGATTAACGTCTCCGAACAATACATCAGCAATAGCCTGGCCAACGAATTGTCCTAAGGGTGCAGCAAATATAACTGCAACTATGCTCTCTTTCTCAATCCATCTTTCCATATTTACTGGACCTACACTATTAACGACAACTACTGTCTTTCGACACCTTTGTGAAACTCTTGAAATTAATTCATCCCCATTATGCCACAATGAAAAGTTATTGCGATCACCGTAGTTGTTATCAACTTGTATGTATCCTTCTCCAGCATTTGCATTAACAATAACGATTGACATATCAGAGTTTGCTGCCAACTCTTCTACATTATCAAATTTCCAAGCTTCCGTAGAGAACTCGACTAGCATACCTTGACCTTTAGCTTTTTGAGAAATTGCTTCATAAGGAGTGATAATATATGGGTTATTGACCGTCGCTGAACCCCAGCCAGTAGTCAAGACACCATTTACACATTGTTGATCTTTACAATTGAACCCCTTAGGATCTGCCCCAGCTGCAACTCCTGAAATAAATATTTTTTTAATTCCGTTAGTTCTAGCAATTGGTAAGTTAGATTCTTTGTTCTTTAAAAGGACTACAGCCTCTCTTGCTATGTTTAGTGCAACTTGATCACTAAATTTTGAACGAGCTTCTTTATGCCAATTCTGTTGAACCGTTGAACCATATTTCTGAAGGGGATATTGCTGGCCATATGAATTATATGTCCAAGAGCTGAAATTGGGATTGTCATTTTCCTTAGGGACACCCTTATTGTTACAGAAAAAAAATGGGGCAAGAATCCGAATTACCATATCATCGAGTCTTCGTTGCGGAAGTGTCTGGTTATAGACTGCTTTTGTCAACTGTGGACCCCAGTATGATTTTCCTCCAAGCCAGTCATTAAAAATAGTACCAGGCATAGTCATATCGAGACCAGCTAGTGCTGAGTAGACACCTGTATGCTGTGATCCCCAGTCAGACATGATAAATCCTTGAAATCCCAATTCCTCTTTCAACAAATAATTTAGGAGATAAGAATTTTCACAGGCATACGTATTATTAACTTGATTATATGAGCACATAACACTACCAGCACCGGCTCTAACAATATCTGCAAAAGGCCATAGATAAACCTCATGCATTTCTTTATCACCAATATTGGAACTAATGGAATTTTCGAGACGAAGCCAGTCACTTACATTCCATTCGCCTACTTGACGAAAATGCTCTTGTTCATTTCCAATTAAGTGCCTGACTGTAGCAATAACGCCTTCTTCTTGAATTCCCTCAACCGTGACAGCCCCTCCAATACCTTGTAAATAAGGATCTGCCCCAAAACCTTCCCAATTCCTTCCACCAGCTGCTTTTAGTCCAATTGGGCCTATAGTTGGACCAAGCATTATATGGACTCCCTTTTTCTTATGCTCTCGGCCTAAAGCCTTTCCTCTGAGATATATTAATCCTCTATTGAATGTGCTTCCAGCTGCTAATCCAGAGGGGAAATGTGTAACAAAATCTGTAAATCTGACCCCATTAGGTCCATCTTGAAGACATAGATTTGGAATACCAAGTCGTGGAACCGACCCTGTATTCCCTATACATGGACCTGATCCCCAACCTGTACCTGTAGTTAAATTAACTTTTTCAACAATGGTCATTTGTTCAACTATTTCTTTAGCCTTTCTATATGCTTCCCTCCATGTATCATTTAGACGACCTCCAACAGCTGTGTTTAATTAGTAAGTTTGTTACGCACCACATATTTATAATTATTACTCACGACTAGGATAATATGGAGGCGATATGAATTCTTCTTTAAGTGGATATCTTGATAATTTCGAGGGAACTGGTGGTTGCTTATAATATTCTTGTTGGTGTTGTATATCCGAAAAATTCCTAAGGAACGAAATTTGGTCCATCAACTTATTTGCTTCCAATGCATTTATAATAGGTAATATTATACCCAAAATTAGCATAGTAACTAACATATTGTTATTATTATTATTATTATTATTATCAGCTTTTCAAAACGTAGTTTACTAATTCATTAATTAACCGCTGGTATAAAAATTAAGAATTCGTTTAGCTGCAAAAAAAAAAATGAGAGTAGTTCTGTACACAAAAGGTTTCAACGGATAGGATTCTATTACCTGAAGTTTCGATTGTTTTCATAGTTAATATTAGATACATACACAATATATAATACAAATACAAAATGCAGTTTTCAATTAAAATATATTTACAGAATAACTCAGGTACTCATTCTGGCAGTGACTTGAACATTTGTTATAATACCAGGAGCAGCATTGTTGGATGATGGTGATTCTATGTCTAATTGGCTTAAGGTAGTGGACCTTTTCAATGAAGTTGGTACTGGTGGAGTGGAACTGACACTCACAGTTTGTGTAGATATGGTTGGCTTGGCAGTATAAGAAGTGTCAGGAGTGGGTTGCTTGTTAGTTAAGTTTTGGTTATTGTATAATGGGGAATTGGGCGTAGGAAGCTTCGACGAAGCAGAAATAATGCTAGTTGAATCAGACAGGAGAATAGGCGACATTGTATTCATAGTCATTATATGAGAAATATCGACCTTTCTGGCTCTCAAATTGTCATCGCTTTCAGAAATTAAATTCATTGTAGCTAAGGGATCAACAAGGGTTTGAATTTCCGCATCTTTCCCCCTCTCCTTTTCGAATCCAGCAAAGACTTTTGTTGATATAAGGGGGAGGGATAGTTCTTTTGTGTATTTATTTGTATCATTGATGTAACCAAATAGCTTTTCCAAAGATTTAAAGGCGCCTTCGGCGTCTAATAATAGCGCACTTTCAAAGTATCCAGGTTTTGAATCATCTATTTTCATGTTATTTTTATACTTAACTCCATTGAATAAGTTAAATAACTCGATTCTATAATTCTTGGGCAAAGCGTTATTTGCTAGATAAACGTTCGTGAATTTTTCAGGGTTTTTTATAAATTGTAAAATGATTGGTTTTAAACTTTTGATATCCTTTAAATCATTTCTTCTCAAGTCAATTTTCTCTAACGAGCACAAGTTTTCTAGACCCGCCAAGCTTTTCAATTTATTATTGTTGAAGTTAATAGTGGACAAATATTTAAGATTTTTTGGCAAAGCTTTTAGATCAGTAATATAGTTATCGGCGAAGTTAATATATTTAATATTATGCAATTGATCCAAGCCTTCTGGTAAGCTTTCTAATAAATTATTTGATAAATTCAATTTGACCAAATTACCTAATGGTTTGAAAACATATGGACGTATGGATGTTATGGAAGTTTCTGAAACTGTTAATTGCTTCAAAACTGACCACTTCCCATCCGATAAAGAATAGTAGTCTTTATCAGGTGAGTCTGAGGTATTATCTTGTCCAAATCTTGTTAAATTAGTATCGCTGTACAACAAATCCTTGGGTGCGGAGCCTGCTCCAGTTGTTTTAGATCTTTCTCTTTTAATGCCCTGTCTACTATTATGATTGAAAGGTTGGAAGTCATTATCTGCATATGATGTATCAGCATCTTGCGTTTGTTTTCTTGAAGGCTTATGGAAGTTAAAAGATGATCTTCCACTTTCATCATCTATGACTAAATTAAATAGGATTTCCCCAATATCAGAGATTTTTGAATCTTTAATAATCAATACTCTTAATTGTTCACTAAGTATGTTCCAGCCAAATATTTCATTAGGTTCGTAATCTACAAGTTCCAATACCTGTAAATTTTTGAACATCTTTATCGGAACTGACGTATCACATGGATATTCTTCATAGGAAGTAATGCTGTTTATCTTAGTCTTTGGTGTTAAAATCAAACATGGAATCTTTGTAAATGACGAATACAAATATCTTAAATCCTTATTAATGACTTTCGGATCTTTACTAAACGCAAACGATCGCCAGTACACGGACGCACTAGATACGATGGACCTCATGGAATTGATTGAAGTGATAGACTTGGCATCACTTTCAAAATGCCTTGATGATCTGGCGTTATTCGCCATGAATGAAATAAAAGTAGGTACATGATTTGGATTATCAAGCTTAATATTAAGCGGGCCAACGTCAACTCCGAGAGGGGATGACTCAATTCTCTCTGTAATATAATAAAGATGGTGGATAGTAAAGCTTAATCTTAGGGGCTTGACATTTGGGTTTGACCGGTTCTTTGAGAAACACATTAATCCATTAGCCAATGCTTCTTCATTTCTTCTGACATATGTTGATAATCTCTGAATGTAAACATCGCCCTCGATAGAGTTATCATTATAATTAAAAGCACCCATTTTTATAAGGGTTTAATAAACAGCCAAGAATAAGGGAATGTTTTCGGCTATATCTCTCCCTTAGGTCCGTCCACAATGTCAAAAGAGTAATAGTATTGTAGAATATACACCTTATTTATTAATAGTAGGTCCTTTGTTTTTGTTTTTTTATATTCTTTTATATGCAGGCAGCTAAAATATTTGCATCAAACTATCAGTGAAGAGAACTGCTACAGGGTGTCAATGTCTACAGGTCACAAAAGAGAGACTAAAGTGTTAGGGTAATCAAAGCATACACTTATGATGCTACGTATATGAAATTTATCGCTTTTCAAAAAGCCTAAAGTCTGGTTTTGAATATGTTAACTCCTAGATGAGCCAATTAAATCCCAAAATAGTATTTTTACATAGTTATAATATACAGAAGCATTATATAGTTTTAGTATAGAATAAGTATACGATATCGCATACATTCAATTAATTGACGGAACTTGCTTGATCATTCAAGTCTGTAACGCTCGATTGAGATGCTCCCATATTCGCATTGTACATACTTGTTCTATCATTTGCATTATGGATACTTGCGGTATAAGTGCTGCTAGCAGCATTTGGATGAATGGCTAGTCTCTCCATGATACTGGCTGGTGGAATACCTGCAGTACTGCTGTTCGTTTCAAGACTTCTTCTTCTAGTTCTTCTAGACGAGCTTGCCAAGGTGACTATGGATTCGCTGTCTCTATCATACGTCAGCAGTTGTAATTGACTATTGTGAGGGTTTAATGTTTGGTATGTTACAGAATTTGCATGCACACTTGGTGCAAGTGATGTTTCAGCAGTCGATGCAACGTATGAATTGTTATCCTGGTTTGTACTCAATACAGAAGGCGACTTTGTAGAGGTAGAAGTGATTGATTTTAACGGAATTGTGCTTATATTGTCATTGTCATTCTCTGATTGAGTGGTTAGCTGATCGCTATTCGATGTACTGCGGACTTCTTGGTTGCCATGAGATGATTCCATTTCTTCGCTCTGGTCCAAATCGTTAATATTACTTTCGTTATCTGTGCCATATTCATATGACTCTCCACCGCTAAATGATTGTGACCTTTGTGAAGTTTCTGCACCTCTTGACTCCCTCATTCTTGAATTAACGTATCCATTAGTTCTATTATTCGAAATATTAGACGTGGACACCAATGCGCCATTCTGGTTTCTATTCTGGCCTTGCATCAACCTCTTCACCCAGCCAAATCTTCCTTTCGTTTGTCGTCTGTCATGCCCATTTAAATTGTCTTTATGGTTAGTATGATCATCATACCAATGGCTATTACTTTTAACACTTCAAAACATACCTGATTCTTGAATTCTAGACATTTGTACTCTATAATTATATTATTTAGTCCTATGTGTTCAAATAAGTGACATAGTTAACTAAATTTAATTATGCTGGTTTACACATGCGCGGCAGTGCAGTCTAATTAAATTTATTATCAGACACTGCTTTTAGGACACTTATTCAAAAGTCAGTCAAGAATAGACATTAGCATTTAAATAACCATTGCTACTTAATGATACAAATATAGTTTCACTGACTTATTAGCAGCATATAAATTAGAAACTATTCGTTCCTAATTCCAATGAGCTCTGATTATATCTAATTGCATCTACATTACGATTTTCAATTACTTAAACATCAAATGATATCATAATGGAATTCTTAACATGAATACACTTAGCTGCAGTTGAAACTCAAACCATTTTGATGTGATCTTATAAGGATGAGTGTACTAATGTAGGAAATACGGATAGT